GCTCATGGCAAACACGTTAAAAGGGTGGGTTATTAATTGTCACCCTAGACGAGGGTTACAAAACATACCCTATCTCCTAAATCAATATTATTCTCTAACTCTACACCCTCACAATCTAAATCTTCCTTACCTAAATCCGCGTTTGCGGCAACCTGGGTAGTTTCATACCGGTTTTCTAAAATTTCTCTCCCGAATCCCTCACGAAGTAACTGTTTGCTAGGTAATGCTTTAAACGGCCGTGTGATGTACTCACCGACCGGTGACCTTACGTTGTCGTACTCATCGGTCACCGGTAAGTTTTTCAGCATTTCCCAACGATCCCGCCCTTTTGGCAGGTTGGGCTTCGAAGAAGCCGCCTTTATACGTTGGTAAATGGCCGTGAGCTTTCCATCAGGGTCATCACGCATAAAAATGGGCAAAGACACCGGTCTAGCATTACGACCGGACCGGGTCTGCTGAGCATCGCGGCCGTTTTTCATTTTTCTTGCAAACATGTTGAAAATCTGGAAATTGAGGAGAGCGATGTAAAACACGTCTGCTTAGAAACTACCTAGGAAGCCTCTTGACGATTGTTAGCAGCAGCCTTACTTATATAGGCTCGTGGTATGTGAACATTTGGTTACGATGGTGTTGCTATGGTAGCGACTGGGAGATGATGCGCAGTGGGTGAAAGTAGGGAAAATCGGACTTTTTGATCAACGTAGGCGCGCAAGTTTTCTTCATTGAAATGTCAATTTTTTTCACGGCACATCTTGAAATTTTGTAACGGATAGCGGTAGAATGAATATAGGAAAACGCAGGTGGAACGAAACTCGTAATGATGCATTTAAGTTACTTGGAATTTTCTGGGAAAAACATATCCCATTGTTATTTTTTGTGTGTGTCTCTATACGAAAATAGAAAAGGGATAGAAGAAATAGGTTGGAATCAACAGTGGCGTCGTGCCCGTTCGGAACCTTCCATGCTACCACACACCGACACCCGGTTGCTCTTTTCCGTCAGATTCGATCCAATCGAGCCATCACTTCATCCTTGGCCTTCAGCACATCTGCCTTTCTGCCGACGATGTGGGATGATCTTTCTTATAGCGAATTAATATACTATTCAGTTCCAACCTAGGTCGGGTATCAAGATAGAGTTTGCTTCTTTTCTGATAAACTTTAGTTTGATCGTTTGTTTGAAAAGCCTCAGGTTCGGTTTCCAACCCAGATAAAATAAACTATTTCTCTTAATCGACTCTATCTTTCGTTAATAACTTGGCTGCATTCATGTTTTGGGCTAATGTTTCTACATAGTCGGTTAAAGAAATTATTATTAATTGTATTATAAGATAAAAATAGCTGAACATGTTTTTAGAGCCTCGTTATTAACAAAAGAGAGAGTCGATGAAGCTGGTACTTTTGCCAGGAGTGTGCTTGATGGTGAGCACCTGAACGGCAATGGCCGGAATTCCTAGCGGTGGAGATGCGATGATGGATGGTCTTTATTCATTCCGGGTGCTAGTGCGCTTCGGTTAATTCCTAGGTGGTTCCCAACAGAACTTAGTTGATAACCAACGTACCGGTTTAAGGCAAGAGAAATCCATAACTGCTTAGTACTACCGCTGGACCACATTGACTTCATTACTAAGCTGTCTTGAATGAGCTGTTGTTCGTAAAACTTCTAATTATTTTTCTCTTGTTTCAGGTAACAAAACGGGTAGCGTTTGCGCAACCTGTTGTGAAACCGAGGAAGTTTAGCCTGGAATGGTCGAGTCTAAAGGTCAATCCCTTAGTGAAAACTAGTCAAGATCTAGAATGAGGTGTATAACTGGAGTATAATCTACCGAGTCTGTGATTTGGAGAAAAAGGCAAAATAAACTGAACTGGATCCTTTAAAGTGTCAGATGCGAATGACTGTCTTGTTTATTTTCTTCTTCGATCAGACCTTGGTCGGTGGAGTCGTTTATAACATCATCTCGCATGTATTCGTTTCCATTTAACGGGATCGGCGCTAATTATAAACAGCTAATTATAATACACGTTAACTTCGAACAACTCATTATACTACACACTGACTACAAACATCTCAGCTCTTCCCCCTTTGGAAGTTTAGCATACAAACTATCTTCAGAGTTTATAAATTCATGTTTCATATCATTCAAATAGATAATTACAACTTCAGTTAAACGTAAAATTCAACAAAGAAATATTAAACTGTGATTCAGTAACACACTGTTTTAGACTATTTTAGATAATCAAAATAATTGTCATATTTCGCTGTTCTCTGCCTTTTCGAGCAAGTTGGAAAGAATTCCGACTACTGTTCGATCTCATCAGTAAAATTTTTCACAATGATTTTCCTCTTCCTGCTACGATGTTTGGTTTCTCGTGGGTTGTGCGCAACTAAACGAGACAAAGGATAATTATTTACTCCTTCGCGATGTTTCACAACAAATGTAAAAGAATGGAGACGAAGAACCCACGCTCGATCCGTGGACATGGTCTAGAAGTTGGATTGAAAATCGCCTCGAGCGGTTTGTGGTCAGTCTCAAGAAAATCGGTCCACTGCCCAAACCAAAGCCAATGCCTCCTTCTCGATTTGGCAGTATCGGTGTTCTGTCTGTGTGAGGCTTTTGCTAGCATACGCAATTGTTCGAGGATCATCATCAGTCAGACAACAAACTGTATCAGGACAGCGCCAAGTGCAACGGACGAAGCATTCGCAATTACCCGAATTCGAAGTGAATTGTTGAAAAACCTTAACGTCTTTCAATTTAGAAAAAGATTTCTGTTGAGCATCGCCCCACACAACGGAGTAGTGACGGTTGCCAAATTTGGTAAGAAACGCCCGATGTAGTTAAAAAGTCCTAGGAAGCTCCGAACTTCTACCGGGCAGGAAGGGGCACGGAATCGTTGAAGTGCTTCAATTTTATCACGAGATTGTTTGTCCTAGAAATCCCAATTTCTGCACTTTAAAAACGTACTTGTCTTTATTCAGTAGCACTCCGTATTCCTTGAGTGTGGACAGTACTAATTCGAGAGCATCATCATGCTCACTCTCAATCTCACCAAAAACTAAGATGCCATCGATGAAATTTACCGTGTGTTTACCACAACTAAAGAGGCTGAATTTATAAAGAGACGACATGTGAAAATTGGAACAATCGATTGTCTGTCAAAATCATAGGATAAATTCAGGCTCTTTAACCACAACGGCTTAAAATCTGTTCAAGTATGAGCTGAAAGATTTCTGGAGCTATTAAAATGCCGTACATGAGGTGCTTATACCGGAAAAGGCCCATGTGTGTAATAAACGTCGTTATGTAACGGCTATCTTTCTCAAGTTCTACCTGGTAGAAAGCTTCCTTGATGTCAAGGCGACTAATGAACTTAGCGGGCGTAAATCGTGGAAGAAAATCATCTATTGTGGGCATAAGATGTCATTCCCTTAAGATAGCGACGTTTGTGTGGTGCGTATTTACGCACAAACGTACACTCAAAAGTAATACAATTCATTATTAGATTAAGAAATAAACATTTTTCAAATTCACCGGTTGTATACGCTCCATAGATTAAATTTTACACTATCATAGCTTAAACTTTATACCAAGTATGAATAGCAGTCAAAAAGCCTTCCCAAAGTATTCATGTCTAGGGTGATTATTTCTTGCCACACCTAGATTAGTCGTGCTGCAAGCGGTAGGTGGGTAGGTGGCGCGTTTTGTTTTTTGTTTTTACTGTAGTCCAAGCTGGTGGTCATTAGTGCATATTATGAAAATTGTGTCGATTAGACTGGAAGTTGGTGGAAAATGTTCTGACCATTACGTGGAACCCGTTGATTGAGTTTCATGGTGGATAACTCACGAATTAGATGCGTCAATTGATGTTTCACAAAAAGTGGCGCATTCGGGTGCACTACCACTGTCTGGTAGGTTTGCTTACATTAGTTTGGTTGTGAATGATTAGCTAATGGGTAATTAATTCCAGCTGCTGACGTCGAATTTGGTCCAGCAGAAGCATCAGAAGATTTGGCGCTGCGTGGTTTGATTGTTTCTCCTGGACCAGAAATTTGTGGCATCGCGAGTGAAAATTTTAATTTCTGTTTATTTACGTGGTGATGAGAACGCCGCTGATCTTTTGTTAGGGTTTTGCGAGGTGCATTGCTTTTGTGCACTAAGTGACTTGAAAAAGAATGCGTGGAAGCATCGGGAATGCGTGGAAGCATAGGGGATGCGCTCCCGGGTGAAGTGATTTGGTGAGTACGTTCCAGTTGAAGATTGTTGACAAGTGTATTTGTGGTGATGCAAATTATGCTTTAGATGACGCATGGCTTCAAACATTTTGTGTATCCAAATAAAATATATTACATACTAAATACGCACAGGGCATCGTCTGCTGACCATTGCCGCGGGTATATCGTGGGAGTCCCAGGTACCCGGTTCAAGCTTTAGTTGGCGGCGGTGGCTCTTCTTGACCTTCTATCCCCTGAGTAGTTAGTGTGAATAAGGGCGTCTATGTGATGTTTTGCTGTACCTGTTGTGGACATCTAGTGCATCCTGTTCCCTTAACTTGTTGAGGACACACTGTCTTGCCTCAAAAGTTACCCTTTTTGAAGTACTAGTCTTCACAACATAAAGGGCACCATTACAGAGCATGAGATTTGATCAAATTATTCGCAGTTCTACTTGTCCAACGCCCCCGGCTGGGTGAGGGATAGAGGATGACACACACACACACACAAACGTCGAATTTGGTCCAGCATGGGGAAGTCGAGGAGGGAATCTTCGGATTCATGGAGGAGGACATCAGGAATGAGGAAGCTCGTATCCGAGGACAAAAGTGCTACATCTGCAAGGAGCGGTATGGTAACGTTTCTTGTTGCGTAAAGAAGTGCTTCCGTACATTTCATACGCTCTGTGGGATGCGGAAAAGGTGCCTGTTGCATTACGTGCGATCCATGGATACGTACCAGTCGTGAAATACTCTGAGACCGAGGCCTGTGGGATTTGCAACGACGAGATGGGACCGTACAGGAAGCTGGAATCGATTCGTGCCCCGTGCTGTCAGGATGGCTGGTTTCATCGGAGCTGCGTGGAACAATTTGCCCAATCGGCGGGGTACTTTCTCAAGTGCCCTATGTGCAGCAACAAGGACGACTTTAGCCAGGAGATGCAGCAGCGTGGGATTTTTATACCGGAAAAGTAAGTGAGGCGGAGGTGGGTGAATCGGTATTGAATTACTAAATATTTTTTATCTGTTCTAGGGATGCCTCGTGGGAGCTGGAACCGAATGCATTCAACGATCAGTTGAAACGTCCTTCCGAGTGTGACACGATGTTGGGATCTGATCCAGTGTGCAAAGTGCGGTATGACTTGTTTCCACGATGAGTGCATGGAAGTTCCCTCGAACTACGGTCGACCAACGAGTCTGATTCGGAGCACGATTGCACAAGATTTGATTGCTTTGTTTTCACTTTCCTAAGAAAATAAACTTAATATTTATTGATTTTTTTGCTTTTTAATCAATAAAAATACCAGCATTAAAATGACAGTGATCAAATACATTCTACGGATAATCCACCGGTAAACTACGCATGCATATTCAAAAGATAAACTATACCCCTTATACTTCAAGTTTATACTAGGCTCGTTTTGTTGGTAACTAAACGAAGCCTGTGGTCAATCAGGCGAATAGCGTTTTAGTGTGAATTTTATACTAATTAGTTTAATTTTTTGACGTAGGACTACGTCTTTGATTTCTATATGGGGGTACACTTTGTGAAAACCGAAAATGGAACATGTAACAAATTAAAAAAGATTTTGAACGTTAATAACTCAGCTGCCCCTGGTCAAATTTCAATAATTTTATCACCACTCGTTTAGAAATATGGCTACGTATCGATAACAATGCTTCCGAATGTTGATTTTCAACAAGAAACTATTGAAAAACTGGTAAATGTCCAGCATTGTCCAAAAGCGTCGAATTAACTAACAAATCCACCAATTACCTACATGCATATGCTGCTTCCCCAGCACAGTCGTCAGAGAGTAGTAAGTAGACGAAACAAGTCGAAGTGGCATTCGCCTCCGATCCTCGGGCGCGTGCGAATAGGGAGGATGGAATTGCGTAATACTTTACACACTCATCGCCATGTTCAGAACCAAACGCAAATTCTTCGAGATAACCACCATCCGTCGTCTGGCTCACCGTGGCGGTGTCTGACGTATCTCCGGTTTGATTTACGAGGTGTGCTGAAGGTGTTCCTGAAAAATGAGATCCGTGATGCTGTCACCTACACTAAACACGCCAAGCGTAAGCGGCCATGGATGTCATCTACGTTTTTGAAGTGACAGAGACGCACTCTGCTTGGTTTCGGAGGTTAAATCATCACCAACATTGGAAACAAAACGGCTCTTTTCAGGGCCACCAAGCTTATTACAGAAAAGAGTAGAAATAGAATTCATCTGCCTGTTTGTCCATATTCAGAACCACCGACCACACAAAATGCTCATGTAATCAAACTGGAAGCAGGGATACAAATTATTTTGATCAACCTTGATCAACTTTGAATCGCCACGGCCGGATACTTTCGATGGAAGAAGCAACAATCTAGCATCTAATTCGACGAAGACGTCAGGAAACATTTCTGGATCAACAATAGAATAGGGCCATCAGCATTTGTAAACAAACCGTTCCAAAGCCTCACAAATCGAAGGCCGCTCACACAAACCAACACCAACATCTTGTAGGTAGAAGTTTCCCCTATCCGATGATGGTGTTGGTTTGTGTGGGTGGCCTTCGCTTTGTGAGTAAAGGGCTTTGGAACGGTTTGTTTACAAATGCTGATGGGCTCTTTTCTATTGTTGATCCAGATTTGTGAAGCCGAGTTATTTACGAAAGAGAGTGTCGATGAAGATAATCGATCAATGTAGATAGGACCTATTGAAAAGTGACGCGAGATTTGTTTTCCGTACTGAGCTCCAATGCTACCGACGCCAGGGAGGCAGCTCCCAGAGATGTTATGCCTTAGAACATGCCGATGGCGCCGACTGAGATTGGACCCAGGCCTACTGGGGTGAGAGGTAATCACGCTAACCACAGACGCCGATATCTATCACGGCGAATGAGAACGACCGAGTTTAGTTATCTCAGAAATAAGAAATAAAGTGCAGGAACTCAGCGATGAGTAAATTTGCCTCATGTTTTCCCAGGTTTTTCCAGGATTTTCCAGGGAAAAATTCCCGAATTTGAGAAAAGTAAAGATTGGATTCACTCAGTCTATTGGCACTACTCCGAGACTGAATAAAATTTTCGTTAATCTCCTCATTTTCTGGCAGATTTTTTTTTTTTTTTTTTTTTTTTTTTTTTTTTTTTTTTTTTTTTTTTTTTTAGGTTTTCCACACGAAATCATGAGACAACTTTACTCATAGCTGAGTTGCTACACTTTTGGCGATTATGAGTGAACTAATCTCAAATTTGGGTCGTTCTCATTCGCCGTGTACGCAAAAAGAAAATAGCCAGTGTCGCTACTTGATAGCAAACTACTCATAATGGGAGGAGTCTTTGTAGCTTTTTTACCACTTGGTTGCACATCATTCTGCTTTAAGCTAAAAAATATAAAGCAGCGCTGCTGTCTGGTATCAGCTCATCATTCGCTGCCAGACTGTTGAGCAGTTCAGTCGATTTGAATTCTCTCTAGTTTCGTTCGTTCGTTCGCAAGTCGAATTAGCTCCGCGTTGTGTAGTGACGCTCTCGCTGACCCAGCCATGGGTAAGAAATCGCGCGGTAACGCGAGTGCCGGTTTACCGGGAAAACAGACTCTCCCAGGAGACGGCGCGACCACCGAGCCAGCCCAGAAGAAGCAGAAGAAAACCCCATTGCCCATCCCGACAGGCGTTGCGGACCCGCAGCCGGGGCCTCCCGGAACTAAACGACCCAGACCTGAAGACAGCAGCGCCACCGTATCAGCAGCAAAAAAGCTGCTGAGCAACAATCCGTTCTCCGCCCTGCAGAACGGAGCCCAGCCGCAGTCGGACCCTGAGACGGTGCCGAAAAAAGTTAAGTTGCCACCCTTCTATGTGAAGGGCTTCCCTCCCGGGCTATGGGAGCAGCTGGATTTCTACATTAAGCAGGGCCTTCGCTGCACCATTCAACGGTGCACGGAAGGCTACAAACTGATGGTCTCGGCCGAAAATCACTACAACGCAGTCCAGGCCCTCTTGGACAGGATGCAGCTGGAGTACTTCTCCACTTCTCCCACGACATCGAGGCCACCAAGCCGCTGAAAGTGGTGCTGCGCGGGCTCCACGACATGGACACCACCACCTTAATGGACGAGATTAAGGCGAACGGCCTCAAGCCGGTCGAAGTCCACAAGATGACCCGCAGCAAGGCCATCAAGTATCGTGACCAGCTCTACCTGGTCCATCTGGAGAAGAACTCCACAACCGTGAAGGATCTCCAGACGACACGCACACTGTTCCACATCGTAGTGAAGTGGGAGCGGTATAAACCCACCCACCGTGGCGTCACTCAGTGCTCGAACTGCCTATTGTTCGGGCACGGCACCAGGAATTGCCGCATGGCCAGCCGCTGCATCAAATGCGGCAAAAACCACAAGATCGACAACTGCGACAGCATCGAGGAAGCCACTCCCACATGCGCCAACTGCGGTGCCGCCCACAAGGCCACAAGTAAGGCCTGTCCGAAGCGGGCCGAATACGCCGAGATCCGGAAGAAGGCCTCGTCCAACAGCCAGCCCGGTCGCAAGAAGGTTCCAGAAAATAACGCGCAGAACTTTCCTCCGTTATCACCGGTCCAATCACGGCCAATTCCAGTGTTGCCGCCGCTCCCGCTCAACCAACAGTTGGCTGCCGCTGCAGTTCCCGGTCAAGCCTCCGGGCCATCGACGGATCCCCCTGCTCCGGGATTGGCCGGTACAACCGGTGAAGCTACAGACGATTCTCCGCTGTCAACGGATGAGATCGTCACACTGTTGGCCCAGGCCATCATCATCAAGCGCACCTGCGCAACAAGAACACAACAGCTCCAAGCTATCATCTCCTTTGTCGCTAATTATGGACCGTGAACCCATAAAGATCGCCAACTGGAACGCTCGCTCCGTAGGGGCGAAAAACATTGAGCTTGCAGACTTCCTCCGCAAGCACGACATCGACGTGGGCCTTCTCACCGAGACTCACCTCAAGACCGGTGACAGCTTCTGGCTGCCCGACCACAGCATTGTCCGGCTTGATCGCACCAGCTCCAGGGGGGGCGGTGTCGCGGTCATCATCAAGAAAGGCATCAAGTACTGCACCCTACCCCACTACCGCACTTCCATCATCGAGGCCGTCGGCGTTGAGGTGGAAACATCGACCGGAAACGTCCGGTTCATCGCCGTCTACTGCCCCCGGCAATGTACCGTTAGCAATGGTACAGCACAGCAGTTCAAGAACGACCTTGCCATCATAACCCACACCAATGCCCGCTTTGTAATCGGAGGGGACCTGAACGCCCGGCACGAGGCCTGGCGGAACTACCAGCAGAACCAGAACGGCCGCCTGCTATTCGACCATTCCCAGCATGGTCTCTATTCCGTCTGGTTTCCGGACGAACCAACCTTCACATCACCGACGGGCAACCCATCGACGCTGGACCTGTTCTTGGCAAACACCAGATTAGCCAAGCCGGTTGCCGTCAACGACCTGAGTTCGGACCACCAACCGGTGCTGACCGAGCTGGACTACAACGTGGCCCCTGCACCGTGCCAGCGGAAGGACTACCATCGAGTCAACTGGGTCCAGTTTCGACGCGTGGTCGACCGCCACATCGACGACAACCCACCGCTCGACACAGTGGATGACATCGACCGGGCCCTGGAGGGTCTCCATCAAGCCATATCCGTGGCTGACGAAGAGTGCGTTCGACGAGTTCCTGTGAGGGGTAAGTTTCAAGCAATTGATTCCCACACCAAACTCTTGATTCGGCTCAGAAATGTTCGTAGACGCCAGTTTCAGCGGACTGGGGATCTGCAGCGTAAATACGAAATGGTCGATCTGAATCGGCAGATCGCTTCCAGAATGGTCTCAATCCGGAACGAGAGTTTCGGGCGGCTCGTTCAGAACCTGGACGACCGTTCCAGACCATTCTGGAAGGTTGCCAAGGTGCTGAAGTCTCACCCCAAGCCCATTCCACCACTTAGAGTCAATGACGAACGGCTTATCACCAACGAAGAGAAGGCCAATGCGATTGGGGAGCACATTGCCCAGTCGCATTTGCTTGGCTCTAAAATCCCAAGTCCACTCGAGAACCAGGTTGCGCAGTGCGTCCTGACGTTAGATGCCTCCCCTTGTGCCGTCCC